GGCTCCCTTATCAGTTGGTTCCTCACTGGGTTTGACCCATGGGAGGCACTGGTGTTAGACTGGAGGGCGGGATGAAGGGAGAAGCCAGAGTCCTTCTCCCTCTCTGCTTTGGGCTGCTTGTGGCAGTGGCCACAGGTCCTCTGGAACTGCAGCCTCTCCCGGATAGGAAACGGCTGGGGTTCCGGCTTCTCCGGGCTGACCCTGACCCCGAAGCTCCCCACCTCCTCCTGGGGTGGCTTCCTGCCACTAACAATTTAACCTTGGCCGGTTGGGGGGCTGGCAAGGGGGGACTTCACCTTGCCCTGGTTGGCCTCTCAACTCCTCCGGCACCTGTGTGACCAGTCTTCTGTACTTAAATACTTAGAATGATGTCCACATTCCTGGTTGGCCCCTGCCTGTCACCTGTGCCCGAGACCCACCTCCATACTTGGCCCTCCTATCCCTGCGGCCCTGACGCTGTCGCAAAGCCACCAACTGCTGTCAGTGAGGCGTTCTGCGGACAAGCTGCAGAGCGCCTGCGGTGACCCCTCAATGCCAAGTTTATGGTTGCGGTGGCCACACCAGCCACACTGACGTCTGCACAGCTCTCCTAACTGCGTGCCCCTTCCTTTTTCAGGAAAACAGAGGCAGGAGGCCTGTCTAGCCCATCGAAGTCTCCCAGGGCCCACAAAGACCAAGGAGGCTGCGCGTACCATGGCGTCAGACATCCTAGCCGTGGGCTCCCTCTACCAGGTCCCTGACCTCAACAAAATGAGGGCGATAGCAGAGACGCCCCAAAAGGCAGCTTCCCCACTGAAACCCTTCACCCCCTTGAAGACCAAGCTCACCAGCATCGAGACCAAGAGGATCATGTCCGTGCTGGATGAGACCATCCAAAAGGTGGAGCTGGTGACGCTGTTGTCCTACATGGCAGCCAACACCGAGGACCTGGAGGGCCTGCTGGGCGAGGACCTCACCAGGGCAGTGCGGGAGCACGCGGACCTGTGCCAGGTGCTCGTGGACAAGGTCAGTTACCTGCAGGAGGAGGAGATGCAGCTGCAGGCCGAGGAAGAGTTCGAGGAGGAAGCCTGGTTCCGGGACCTCCTCCTCTCCATCGAGCTGCAGAAATCCAACCTCCTGCCGGTCATGGGGCAGATCAAAGACTCCACCAAGAACATCCTGAGACTCCTGCTCAGCCGCCCGCAGGCGGCCCAGCTCCTGCGGGCGCAGGCGCAGGAGAGGGGCCCGGGAGCCCAGGGCTTCATCGACAGCCTGGTGGAGCTCCGCGGCTTCCTGTTTGAGAAGCTGCTCACCTGCCCCATGGAAGCCAGAGACAAGAGCCAGTTCATCCAGGAGATCACGAAGCGGAACAGGAGGAACCAGGAGGTCATCGACACGCTTGAGAACGAACTGGAGGAGAGAATGAAGAACAGGGCTGCGGAGGTATCGCTTACAGTGTGGGCAAGTCCTGGAAGGAGCCCACAGGGCAGCCCAAACCTTCTGGCAGTTGGGTTCTCCCCCCCCCCCCCGGGATTTAAATAGATGTTTTCATTCATTTATTCCATGAATATGGTTTTGAGTACTTTATGAGGTGCCAGGTCTTATAAATAAGCCACATGGTCACAGCCTCATGGAGTTCACAGTAAGGAAGATAGGATTTAAAGAGCTGGGTTAATTACAGTTTTAAAAATATGTATTTTTATTTTTTTCAGAGAGGAAGGGAGAGGGAGAGAGAGAATTATTGATCGGCTGCCTCCTGCACGCCCCCTACTGGGGATCCAGCCCGCGACCCAGGCATGTGCCCTTGACCGGAATCGAACCCAGGAACCTTCAGTCCACAGGCCGACGCTCTATCCATTGAGCCAAACCGGCCAGGGCTGTCCCTATTTTTGAACCAACTGAGGGCAGGGGACAAGCCAGGCACTCAGGGAGAGCAGGTGGCAGTCCTGTGGGGCGTGTTTATCACACCTTCGTGCATCACGCTGTCTCTGCCAACTGGGCACCCCCACGGTGCCCCAGGAGTGCCCCACTGTCCCAGCCCTCTCCCCTGCCCTCCACTCATGCCAGGAAAGAGAGGGGGTGGCCAAGAACCCAGGCTCTCGGTCAGACAGACCTGGCTTCAAATGCCGGACGGACGACTTGACCCCTTCGGCCTCCGCTTCCCGGTCTGTCATCACGCTGTCCCTGTGCCCACCGGCGGTGGGGCAGGACTCGGCGAGGTGACCTCACAGCAATGGCTGGCGCCTGGGCTGAGCCGTGGTCACGTAGGCGTTAACGCGGCCTCTCCTCTTTCGGGCCCAGGTGGAGAAGGAGAACTTCGTGATCCAGGAACTGAAAAACCACCTGCACCAGGTGCTCAAGTTCTCGGAGAACAGCCTGCTCCGCACCAAGCAGGAGGCCGAGAAGCAGCAGAAGGCAGACTACCGGGCCTCGCAGGGGCGGGTGGCCAAGATCCAGCAGGACATCCTGCAGCTGCGCTCGCAGTTCCACAGCCTGGTCATGGAGAACCGGGAGGCAGAGCAGGCGCTCAGGAAGGTGCCCTGGGAGCCACCCGGCAGCGGGGACAGGGTGGAGGGGGTCCAGCGTGGAGGGCAGGGCTGCCCCAGCCGCCAGGAAGCTCAGGGTGGAGCCGGTGTCCCCTGGGAGGCAGGAGGGTGCAGTGCACGGGCCTGGAGGCAGAGACGGCCCGTCCTGCTACCGCACGCCCCCTCCGTGATCTTGGGCAGGTTCCCTCGTTCCCCTGGGCCCGGCAGGGATGATGAAACCCACCTGTCGATACCGTACAAAGGAACCAAAGGAGCATGTGAACCTCAGGCCAATACCGAGCCTCAGTTTCCACAGCTTTAAAGTGAACGGGATCAACTCAGTCTTAACAAGAATTCAGTGAGATGACAGGCAGAGAGCTGGTGCAGAATCGGTGCTCAGTACACACCATTCCCCCCTGTGCCGCTCCCTCATCTCAGCCAGGACCCAGGCCCGCTGTGCACTTGCGTGTTTTGCAGTCCCTCTCCTGACGAAGGGCACCCTTTCTAATGCTTGTTCCCGGTTTCATTTTAGTGTCATGACTTTTTGTTTTTTTAAGTATATTTTATTGATTTTTTACAGAGAGGAAGGGAGAAAGAGAGGGATAGAGAATTTGAAACATCGATTCAGCTGCCTCCTGCACACTCCCCACTGGGGATATGCCCGCAACCAAGGTACATGCCCTTGACCGGAATCGAACCCGGACCCTTCAGTCCGCAGGCCGACGCTCTATCCACTGAGCCAAACCAGTCAGGGCTGTAATGACTCTTTTGAGCACCTGATGGAAGCCTCGGGCCTCTCCCCCATCAAAAAGCCGAGGCGCACACATCCACACTGGTGGGCAATCCTTGGGGGTCACAGGCCCATCTATGCTGCCCAAGTTGAGAATTCTTGCTCTGTAGATTAGGAAGCTGGTTTGTTGTTATTTTTAAATTGAGGTGAAATTCACATAGCATGGAATTAGCCATTTTAGAGCGAACAGTTCAGTGGCATTTAGCACATTCACAGTGCTGTGCAACTGCCGCCTCTGTCTAGTTGCAGACATTCCATCACTCCAAAACAAACCCACACCCATGAGCGGTTTCTCCCACTCCCTCCCTCCCCCAGCCCCCAAAAACCACTCATCTCCTCTCTGTCTCTATGGATTTGCCTCTTCTGGGCGTTTCATACAAAAAGAATCATAAAACATGTGGCCTTTCGTGTCTGGCTTCTTTCACTCCGTAGCATGTTTTCAAGGTTCACCCAGGATGTAACGTGTAACAGTACTTCATTACTTTTTATGGTTGAATAGCATTCCATTGTATGGCTAGGAGCTGCTCTCTTTTATTTATTTTTTTAAATATATTTTATTGATTTTTTACAGCGAGGAAGGGAGAGGGATAGAGAGTTAGAAACATCGATGAGAGAGATACATTGATCAGCTGCCTCTTGCACACCCCCTACTGGGGATGTGCCCGCAACCAAGGTACATGCCCTTGACCAGAATCAAACCTGGGACCCTTCAGTCCGCAGGATGATGCTCTATCCACTGAGCCAAACCAGTTAGGGCAAGAGCGGATCTCTTTTAAAAGCAAAATTAGGTCACGACCCTCCACTGCATCTAAACCACCCAATAGCTTCCCCTCCCCCTTACACCAGAACCCAAGCTCCTCCCCCTGCTGACACTCCCTCTGCCACGCAGCTTCTCACTCTGCCCTCCCGGGACCACTCCTCGGCCACTCCACTCCAGCCACACTGGCTTGACTTCTGTTCTAGAAACACCACAAGCTTGTTCGCACCCCAGGGCCTTTGCATCTGCTGCTCCCTCTGCTTAGAATGTTCTGGAGTCACACTGCTGGCTTCAAATGGGGCTCTAGCACTTCCCAGCTCTATGTCCTTGGGCAAGTGAGTGAGCACAGCTGACCCTCAGTTTCCTCATCTGTGAAATGGGGGACCTGCCTTGGGTGGATTCACAGGCGAGGCATGTAAGGCACCCACCACAGGGCCGGCTGGTGCGGAGCGTGCTTAGCATTGTTTATTGTAAACTCTAGCCTGTCAGTCAATGATTAACTGGATTTTTTACTTTTTTAGAAGAAATATAAAGTGGAGACGGAAATCGAGAACTGGATCCAGAAATACGATACGGAGATGAGCGAGAAGCAGGTATTTGTTGCTGCACGGGTCTCTCTCAAGTGTATTTCCCACAATCCTCTGGGAATGGGGGATGGGAGGAGAGGCCCCAGGATGGTCTGGGGTTTGTCTAGCCTGGGGCAGCGAGGGGAGAGGTGGAAGGGAAGGATCCAGAAGCTGAGCCACTAAGTGCTTGACACTGGGCCAATGATCCTGGCTCCATCTAGTGTCCACATCCCGTACTCTCTGCTCCTGCTGGCACCCAAGCCAGGGCTCGTCCCCAATGGACTCAGGCGAGCGCTTGCCTCGGCCACTCAGAAAGCTCCTGCTGCGTGCCTGCCACGTGCCAGGTGCTGGGGCCCAGGAGGGGGGAAGGCCCGTGGTCCCTCGGAGGTTCTCCTCTCGTCACTCACCAGCTGTGGGCCCTAAGCAAGGGGCTTGGCCTTCCTGGGCCCATTTCTGCACGTGACCAATGGGTCGTCATCCCCAGGCCGGGCCAGGGTGCGGTCAGTGAGGCACCACTGTCACCAGTGCTTGTGTCCCGCACGGGGTCTGGCCCGCAGGAAGTGCTCAGGGAACGGTAGCCTACAATACGGGGTGCCCTCAAGCCCCCACCCAGCTCCGTGATAACCTCGGTGGCCCACGGCCCTGGCTGTGGGGCCAGGAAGCCTGGTGGGCACTGGAGGTGGCATCAACCTCTGTGGTCCAGTCACTGTGCTGCTCAGGGAAGAGCAAGTCGGGGCCTGGCTATCTGACCACGAGTGCTCTGGGGAGGGGGCCCTGGGGAGGCTGGCAACCCTGAGTGGGAGGGAGGGAGGGAGATGGGTGTGAGCTACAGCAGGAGAGGCTGGAGTTAGACACAAGGAAGAACTGTGGGACTGAGCCCCTGAGGAAGTGCCACACACGCTCTTTGTGAAATGGACGGCTTCGGTGGCAGCAGCTTCCATTTCCTACGTCCCCACGCGTGCTTGGCACCGCGTCCAGTATTGTGTTGTCCTGTGTCATTTAACCCTGGAAGCAGCTCCCAACACCCCCTCCTGCGTTTGCAATTGTCACCATGCCTCAGATGAGGAAAAACGAAGGCTTGAACGGTGTGGCTGAGCTGGGATTTGGACTCAGCCTGGCCAACCACAAGCCCTGCTCTTTCCTGGGTCCCACCTCGTACTAAGATGGACCTCATCACCTCTCGCACTCTCTTCCGGGCCCTGGACGCAGAAAGCCTAGTGCAGGCGGCCTTGCTGGCCCAGAAGCCCCTGCGGGAAGGGCGGGGTGCATGCAGAGGGCGTGGCAGGCAGGCCCGATGCCAGGTGAGCCCACCGACCCTCTGCAGGACGAATACGAGGAGCTGGACATCATCCACAAGGAGGAGAAGATCCAGCTGGAGGAGCTGCAGCAGAGGTACGAGGTGCTGGTGGAGGAGTTCGCCCAGATCCGGGAGGAGCGGGAGATCACCTCCAAGAAGAGGATGGAGGACGAGCAGGAGATGATGCGCATGGTGAAGGCGGCCACGCTCATCCAGGCCGTGTGGAAGGGCTACCTGGTCCGCTCCCTGCTCAGGTCCAAGAGGAAGAAACGGGGCAAGGGCAAAGCGAAGGGCGAGAAGGGCAAGGGCAAGGGCAAGAAATGAGCCCCCCTCCCCCAAGCCCTGTCCTGATCCCGTGCACCGCCTCTCCCCTCCCCCCTGAGCGGGAGAGCCGGCCAGGAAGCCACTGGGACCAGGAAGCCCGGCAATCATAACTTTCATACTTTTTTCAAAATTAAAAACCATTTTAAACCACTTCCTATGAATAAACCTCATTTTACCCAGGGCGGTTGGCTGTGCGTGTGTCCATGCCTGTAAATGCTGTCTTCATAAGGGGAGTATGCAGGGTGTCAGCACTAACCATTCCTCCCTTCAGCCTCCGTGGGAGGCCGGAGCCCAGGCTGCAGCCCCCTTGGTCCCAGACCAGAAGCCGCCAAGGCCACGATGGACACGTCACCCGGCAGGTCTGCCCACGGAGGGTGGGGGGCAGGCAGAGAGCTCCAGCAAGACCGGGCTTCCCTGCCCTCAGCCCCGCCCTGGGATTGCCCAGTTGCCCACAGCTTCTCCCGCATCAGCACTGTGAAAGCTCAGGTGTCCCAAGATCATAGACCAGCAGCCTCCATGGGCTTTATTTGGTGCCCAGGTAGTTGAACAATGTATCTTTTTAAAAATTCACTGCTGGTATTTAAAAAAAAAAAAATCAGGGGCCCTCACACAGAAATCCAGCTTCCTGCCTTTTCTGGAAAATTCTCACCAACCAGATACCCTGGGCTCTTCCAGAGCTGAGCTGCAGCACCCGCTAGAGGGCGGAGACTGCAGGCAGCCCCAGTCCCCACCACGCCCCACAGTCTTCCCAGACGCTATGGCCTTGTCAGTTGCCCCTTATCCTCACACTCAGGCTGTTGCCTCTCTTTAAGTCTAGTCGGAGGAAAGAGGTATTTCTGGCTCATGTCTATTTAAACGGGGGAGGGTGTGTGTGTGTAAATGAGAGCTGGGAGGGAACTAATTCTTTGTGAAAGTTCTAGGAAGTTTAAACATCACACATGTTTAAAATGCCAAGAGAGCTGCTGACTTGCTTGCCTCATGCCCCACCTGCCCCAAGTGGTGTCTGCACACGCATCCCTGGCCCTGGCCACTGGCGGTCCCTCCTGGACTGCTCTGCTCCCTTCCCCTCCCCTCCCCTCCCTAGAGGCAGCACAGAATCAATGATGGGGCTTCACATCAGGGGAAAAGGGGGTCAAGGCAAGGCCCAAAGCCCAGGCCCCCCCAAACTCGCCAGGATGCTGGGATCCTGGTGCGACTCCATCTGAGCCAAGGCCCTGCTGTTGCCTGTAAGGGGCCCGACCCAGGTGGTGCAGCTGACAGCCTCGGTGCAGGGAAGGCGCGTCTGATCCCTCGGGCCTCGACCCCGAGAGCTCTCCAGATGCACGAAACTTTCTGGCCTTGGACCGCTCGGCTTGGTCAGGTCCTAGTCACTGTGTGTTTTGTTTTTTAAAAAGGCGGGAAATGCATGAAACTCTAGTCCACATTCTCATCTCAGGAAGAACCAGCCGACCCCCTAGGTAGTGGCAGTAGCTGAAACCGACGGGAGGAGGCCCCAGTGTTGCTTGAGACCTGGGTTCCGGAACTTCCGGCCCCCACTCGCCACTGTCACCACATCTGTGCTCCCTTGCTATATCATTAAACGTTATTTAACCCAGCTCAGGCCTAACATCGGCTTTTTCCTTAAGGAAAAAAGATAGTGAAAGTCATGGTTTTGTGATTATTGACATATTTAATATGTGAAAATAAATACATGATCATTAAAATAAAAAACCCACCCACCATCACCTGGACACCGTGCCAGGGAAAACTCTGAGGCCTCCAGACTCGGCTGGAAACTCATCCTGAGCAGGAAGTT